ATAAAGACTGTGTTGCAGATCTCCTTGTTCTTTTGATAGAATCAGTGATATCACAACCGCCATAAATAAAATGTATACTAAAAGAGCCTGCTCCATATAAAATTACTGGTTTTACTGCCCATAACTTTTATCTGTAGCATTTTTCATAATATGCCTATCACTGCAGTAACAAATAATCATTTCAGATTTCTTCATTATTGTCTTTTGGGCTATAATTTATCATGCTTAGTCTCAATAAAAAAGAATACTTTCTTCCTTGTACTTAATTTGCCCAAAACAAAGTAGAAGCAGTATGTCTGATGCATCTGAAATGTTGCTCACAAATATTAGAAATGCATAACTCAAAAGTCAGCTTAAATGCTCATCAGTTCTATTCAAATCTTAAAATAATATTTGCATGCGAGATTTTAACCCTAAAGGCTACATTTTTGAGACAGTTTCTAGGGATTAAAAAAATGGGGCTGGGGGGGATTAGGAAGTACCTCATGCTTAAACAGGTAGAACAGTTAGTACAGTCCAAATGAGTGTAGTTAGTTTGAATGGTCCCATGGCCCAAGTCCTGCCCATGCAGAGTCCCACTGAAGTTGATGTAGCTTTATACAGTTATGTCTATACAGATCCTGTTACAACATTGGGTCTTGGATATGAGACAGATGAGGCTTGAGCTAGCACTTAGACTAGAGGCACAAAACCAGGAAAGGATTCAGGTCTGGAATCCACTGCAATAAAATTCCATGCACTGATTCCACAGGTTTTTCACCCCCAAAATTGGCAAGTATCATTCAGTGAATTATTTACACATTAAAATAATGTGCCTTGCCTTTTCCCAGATTTCAGGTGCATCTGAATGGTAAATATATCCACCTTCAATTTCTGATCATGCTCAAAGTGCGGTGCCTTAGATGTTTGGATATGCATTTGAAACTCACCCTTTAAAATCAATGGATAATATAGACTATGCTTGGTCAGATGTAGTGATGGCACTTGCTATAACAGATGAATGAGCAGGCTGTAGCTCATATCTCAGGGTTTGGGGAGGGGGGCCGTTTGTGGACCTTATATCTCGCTTCAGATATCAAGCAGAGCTTATTTCATTTTTAAAACAATTACATATGGATGCAGTGGTAGCCATTAAAAACCTTACATTTGCCAACCATTACAATAGATGTTCCCCTTTCAAAACATAGGAGCAACTGTGGAAATCTCAGATACTTCCATGCAATCGCTTTTGGCAGACAATTACTTTTTTTAATGACAACCATTAGGCATCCTTTTTTGCAAATACATTTCAAACTCTTTAATTTTCAGCAAGTTCTTAACACTTTATAAGGTATGTCGGGGGTTTTCATACCACTAGAGGGTATCTTTTAACTTCTGTCATGTCTACTTACCGTTAGTGAATACCATTGCTGACATGAGTAAGATTTTCGCATTGGTTACCTGGCATTCACTGCTATTTCATATTGATCCAGTTCACAAACATTTATATGGGAAAAATGGGATGTTGATCATTCAGGTCTCATAAAATACAAAGACTTATCATTCACTGGTCATATCAGTCATTTAAAATTGTAGCTGTGGACATGCCGCTATGTACAGTTCAGTGTTGATTCTAGTTTTTGCTTCTATTGGAATTGGGGTGAGACCACAGAACAGTCAAAGGTGCTAGAAATTCCAACAGTGTCATAACCTAGTTTTGAAAAAAACTATGATGATTTTAGCAGTTTTCTTTTGGTTAGGAATTAAATAGCTCAGTAATACTTCAAAGCAGAAGGAAAAAACGTCGCCACATGAATTTGCTTCGAAACTGCTGCTTAAGTTTTTGTGAATAAGGTGGTTTCTTCTTAGAATGCCTGTGGGTTTCACTAAAAATACTTTGTTCGCTTTAAGGCATGAGCAAAAGGCCCTATTTTGTCTTTATTATATAATAATGTGTCTGGAGGAAGAGTTTATATGGCAGTAAATTCATTTGGGGAAAAAAAATCTCATCTTTTTAGAATTGTGACAACAGTTAAAAGCCCTCTGCAGCCTGGTAAAGATCAACATCACTCACTTAGTACTGTGACATATAACCACTACAGAAAATTGATTCTTATTTTTCTGACAGGGTAAAGGGAATGAAATAGTTTCCTTTTGTATATCTTTATAACACTGTAGACTGGCCACCAGTAATAATGCTGGGGTGCATTAGATTACCATGGCAATCATATACCATGGCAATCATATGCGATGAAATGAAACCAAAACACTTTAGTCAGACCATGCAGTACTCAATTTTTACCTTTCACCATTCTGACAGCACGATCATTTTTGAGTCAGCTTTATGACATATCTCCAGTTCTAGCTGATATATCTTGGGATCGCATTTGGCTTAACAGACATTGTTTAAAGACCTGTGAAAATTGTGCACCGCTTGACAGCTGTTCATTTTACTAACTTGGAGTATTTCCTGCCAGTACACTAACACCTTTAGAAGTTCTTGGTGCTATGAAAAGGCATTCAAGAAAATGAGTATAGACTACATATGTGACCACTACTCACAGGTAAATTGTGGGTTTTATCTTTCCTGAAAGATTTTTGCTATGGCCCCCGATTCTTGTTAGATAGAGGATTTCTTTAAATTATATACTTGGACTTCGGGAAGAATCTATTCTGTCTGCTAGAGCAACCCATGCAGTGTTCAGCTATACCAAAGGAAACAATATGCAAGGAACTTGATGGTATTTCTGAGTATGGTACTCAAAGGTTAGGTTTTATTTTCTTACAGTTGTAATAGATTTCTGAAAATCTTGCATGTATTCATGTTTTAGACACGTTCTTTCTTTAAACATTGGAAGTGTTACATCACTATGCTAGATTTAGCATATAAATAGCACAACTATTTGAGCATGTTTGAGTGCTTAGTGTTTTCATAAGACAGAAAGGTTAGCTGGGTTTTCTGGGAACATTAATATTGATTTAACTAGTGGTTTCCTTGAGCTTTAGCAATTGCATTGCTAGGAAATGCACTTGAACAACCTCAACACTAAATTAGCATACCTTTCTAGGTAGACGTAGATTAAAAAAAAAATCCCATTAGTTTATATATACTCTTTATGCACATTATTAGAACACGTGGTTTGAGAGCATGACCCAACACACTTCTTGACATAGACAAGTTCATATATTTGGGCAGATACTCTTAGCAATAATAAACATACAACAGGGAAAAATATATCGCAGATGTGATCTCTTTTGAAGATGGAACACTATTGCGTTCTGTGTACAAAGTATTTTACAAACTCAAATCTTGGAAACAAGTGTAAATTACTACAATACATAATAGCTAACATGACTTTTATAAGTTGGAAATAATAGCTTTAGGACCAGGGAGTAAAGAATTGCTGGCTTCTCCAATTTAAATTACTTAAAGCTTCAGAAAAGTGGAACGTCATTACCCACAAGTCATATATGTAATAACATAGGGGATACTTTAATAAGCATAGTAGTCATTGCACCACATCAGAAAAAGAGCAGAGAAAACACTACTATATGCAAGAGAATGTGAGTTTTAGTTCACCTTCATTTTACACCATTCATTTCACTTATTAGTGATATTATAGCAGAGGACGAGTACTCAAAACAGTTTGCTAACTGGGTACCATGGATGTATGTCTGCCCATATATTCCATGCTGAATACAGGGCAGGTGCACCAAAGTACTGAATCCCTTAATATGACATTCATCCAGGCATGTTTTCTGGAAGCTTTTGTGTTCTCAGGAAAGGTTGTGGGTCTGTAACATTTCAACTAAAGAAAATGTATTTATTTCAAAATGTTTACACAGATATATTTTCAGTCCTTCAATGCTTGCAGTGAGGGTATCAGATGAAATTGCAGTTGTTTGTTCTCTCTTGGCCTCTCCATTGTACTTAGTTTTCATTGTGCCATCTGGAATTTGGTGTTTGCATCTAAGAGTTTCTTTGGAATAGGAATTAAGGCTAGATTAAAGTTTTTTGGGAAGGGAAAGATAAACCAATATGATAGTACCTTCTTACTTAGAAATAGAGAGATTAGCACTTGTTGATATTTCTGTGCATCTCCTTTTTTGGCATGGTAGCTTTATTTCCTGTTCCTCACTAATCATTTGCAAATTTAAAATGGATTGAATTGCTTTGTGCCTCTTTAAAGTTGATGAGAGAATTTTATTTTAATTTCAACAACATTAAAGCTAGCTTTGGTTTCTGTATGTATTTATAGACCTCCTGTTTTATGGTAACCATATATTATTGCCAGCTTTCAATCACTTCGTTTATTAGTGGGTTAGTTGAGTGGTGGGTTACATAAGGATAAAACCGACATTGTGGTTTCACGCTCTCCAAACAGCCACACAGAATGCCTCATCAGGGAGTGCTTGTATTCAGTGTGACATTGCCAGCCTTTAATTATGGTTAATGAAAACTGCAGGATGGAAAAAATAAGTGCCTTTGCAGATGCTGGAGCAGTTTATGGAGATATTTAGGAGCAGCATATTGCTGCAGCTAGAGAGACAAGTGCCACGCAATGAGGTCATTAAATGATGGGTTTTCCAGTTCATTCTAGTTTCTGCCAAGTGTCCTATCCTTTCCCCTCTTGTCTCCATTCACCTTCTCCACCTCCAACCCAGCTACACACAAAATGAAGACTGAGATAACAAGAGTGTCTATCAAACCTGGAAATCTAGAGGTTATTGTATGTGGAGTTATTTTCCTATTTGGACTGTCACATTATTAATGATTTAACTAATGAACTCCTCTAAATAAGTTATGCAACAAGCTGGTATTAACTTTAAAATTGAACTGTGTGACATAACGTTCCATTAACCTGTTATGTTAGCCTGGTTTTAATAGTCTCATCTTGTGGCAACAGGGAAAGTAGATAGTGCTAAAAGCAAAAATACTGGATTTGATGGTAGCTTGCTCTAGATGATAATGTTTCTTTGTTCATTCAAGAGTATCTCCTACTGTTTAATTTTCATTGCAGAACGGTAGTGATGCCAATTGCCAATGAATTTGCCCCAGATGTTGTGCTGGTATCATCTGGTTTTGATGCCGTGGAAGGTCATCCTACACCTCTTGGAGGGTATAATCTATCAGCAAAATGTAAGTTGCAGCTTTACAACAGGGGGCAGATCCAGAGCTGATGTAAATGGCTCTTGCTCCATTCACCTTAGTGGAGCTGTTACCACTTACGCTAACTGCAGACCTGCCCACAGGTCTTTCTGTTTAATGTGTTCATTTGTACCGTTTGTATTCCTGTCACTGTGTTCTGTGCATTTCAGTTGCTTCCTTGTGTTGGTCCCATGGGCATCTTGCTCTCATAAAACAATGTTTGTATGCTATTCTTAATCGAGTGAATGGTATTTGCTAAATAACATTAAGTTACAAGTTTCTCAGGCAGAAGTGAAGAACAAGGAAATGTCAGATGTAAACACTGAGGATTTAGAGATCTGCTGGGATTCAGTTTTCTTCTCCAGAGCTAAATGAAAATAAATCAGGTTGAATATTTTTCTCGTCATCTTTTCAAAAGGTTATGTAGTCCAGAAAAAAACCTTTCCCCTTCAGATCCACAGTGATGTGTATTGCACAAATACAGGGCTGAATTCTTTCCTCAGTTGCCCTGTTGTCAATCTGGATTTACTTTGCCTAAGCCAAAGAAGAATATAATTTTTTAGCCAAAGCCTAAAAAATCAAAAAGAACTTTTACAGTTTTGATGCCTGTTAGGAAGGTGATTATCTAGGGTGAACTTGGAGGTTTATAAAGAAGCTGAGCCTACAAACTTTCTAAAAGAATGAAGTGAAATGGAAGACTTTAAAAGGCGAGGCTTTGGGGTTTTTTTTAAGGACTACACAAATGCTTTGCAAATGAGAATATTTTATTTACCTAGTTGTTGAATTTTCTCTAATTTTGTTTTACCTTCATAAAATGTAAAATTGACCTCAGGGAGTTTATTATGTAGTTGGTTCAGGCAGTGAGATGTGTTCCCAGGCTGTTAAATTAACCAAGTGCTTTAGTTGCAATTGTGCCTGAGGGTGAGACTGAAATAAAAGGGTTTTTATGCATTTGTTTTGAGTTGGGGGAGTTCCTTCTTTTTTCGTTTCTGGAGTCTGTCATTTAATCCTTGTGATTTATGGTTGGGTTTTTTTTAATAGTAGAATTAAATATACTGGGTGTCAAATGATCAAAGTCCAGGTGTTTCAAGGACTCTTACAGCATATTGTATATGTAAAGAAACTGCTATTGAATGCTGGATGTCAAATGCCTGTAAAGCATTGTAATTGTAATTTTTCACAAACAGAAGCACAAACCACAATCTGTTGTTTTTCCCCCACTATCTCCTTCGTGACATTCGTTCTGATGCTTTTTTTTTCTCCTGTGTTATATATCAGAGCAGAAGCAGCTACCTTCCAACTTTGTTCCTGTCGTCAAGAAGTTTTTCTTTCCTTTCCATTCCTTTCTACTGTGTTAAATTCAGAACATAGCAAAACAGATTCTGACTTTAGTTATCCTGGTATAAATCTGAAGTAATTTTAATGAACGTTACAGAGCTCCTTCAGGTTTACACGCGTGGAAGTGAGATAAGAATCTATTCTGTAGCACATACACTTACGCTGATCCAAAAGAGTCGAGCTGAAATTCTGAAACAAACGTATTAAAATAGAACCTGGCTTATATTATGTGTTTAGTCCTTGCAGATCCCTTGTGGTTTATTTTAATATGATGTAATTCCTTTTTATAATTCTTTGATCCTTTGCCAGGAGTCTGATTCCACTGACAACCTTTGCCCTTTTCTTGCATTTCCTGTTTCCCTGTTACAGGCTTTGGGTACCTGACGAAGCAGCTGATGGGATTGGCCGGAGGTCGAATTGTTCTGGCCCTTGAAGGGGGTCATGACCTGACAGCCATTTGTGATGCATCTGAAGCATGTGTTTCTGCTTTGCTGGGAAACGAGGTATAAAGAATATTAAAAGCACTATGGATAGCTTTATGTTGACAAATTCAAGGTACTACAAATTCAACAGCTTTGTTCCAGAGCTCAGTATGATGAAATTGTATTTTGCCACTATTGATTAGCGGTTTTCTACATTTCTTAAATTTTAATTTGTCTTTGTTCCTAGTCCTTTCTTTAATAGAAGAGCATCAGATTGAAAATAACATATTTAAAAAAAAAAATCCCTCTCCCCTGTTGGCAGCGTCTCAGACAATTAGAACTGAATTATAAAAGTGAAATTTGTCTTTACTGCTCATACCCTTATTGTATTTCCCTGGGCTTGGGCAATGACAGTAAATGTTTATTTTATATTTATGGTCCTTATCTGAGACTTTCTCTCCTGTGTGCTCTCCCTCCTCAGTAGCCATTCTGTTGTTTGTTTTGATAATCCTTTTCACATTTTTCAGTACCACAGATTAGTGTATTGAAAAAGCACAGCTGTTGTAGGATGTGTCAAGGAAGGCTGGTGGATTGATAACTAGATAGGAAGCATGTGAGTTTGGAACCCCCTCTTAAGTGTCAGGAGCAAGTCTAGTTTCTGGCACTCAGGAAATAGTTCTGTTTTTGGGGGTGGGTGTGCGGACATATCGCTGCTTTCCTTTTCCATTTTTCTTTTGGATAGCAGTGATAAGTACAGGGAAAAAAGGAACTGAATTCTTCCTTTGTCACTCCAATAACCTTTGAGCAATCTCGTTTCAACCTGCTGCTACCTCAAGTCCAATTAAGATCACTAGTTATATGTATCTACCAAAATGAATAGTAATGAAATAGTTAATAGTGGTCACATTTGACTTAACTATTTCTCTCTTGGGATACCTGATAACTAGGGAAATCAACTGTACTGGCATCCAGTCAGATTCAGCAGCGTGATCCGAGTTGGAGTCCCTGACTCTTTTTTTATATTGTCAGCTCATGAGATTCTCATGAGCAGAGGTGATTTCCTTCAGTCTGTCATAGTCAAAACCCTAGATTAGATTCAAGCGCACAATTAAGCAGCAAATCAAAAAATAACCCTTTGTGCAGCCACTTAATCACAGGCTGTGCTTAAGTCAGTATTCTGCAGTTGTCTGTCATGTTTGTACCTGTGGCACACACTAAAGGTGTCCAGGTTCAGTTCTAACTTCTATTTTTGTTAGCTTATAGGCTTGTGAATTTCAGCGACTTGTTTATTTTGGCTAGCTCCAACCCACGTCTTCGGGTGTATTCCTCCTTTTTTGGACACCCACACTCCTCACGGTATACTAAATGTGTTTTCAGTTCATGGCCAGAATCCAAATGGCAGAATGCTGGCAGGCATGCATGGACACACAATGGACAGAACATCATTGCATTGCTTTTCCACCTAGGAAAATTGGACTCAATGCTAAGAAGCACATGTCTGGTCAGACTGGAGCCTTAGGAAGTAGCCACTATTAACTCAGAAGATGTCATCATAGCAACAGCTCTGAGAAGCCTTTCGAAACAAATGTTGAAGATGAGTGAAGAATTTTTTTAAAATATAGTATTCATTGCCTAGACCACAGACTGCTTAGAATTAAAGTGTCGTGTAAAAACAGTTAGATATATCAAATTGGAGCGATGCTGTAAAATTGGGATATTATTACAAATTGAATGCTGTGCAAATAATTTTGGCTGTCTCTGGGATTATGGGATTACCATGTATGCTTTGCACTGTATGAGAAGGCTCTGTTTGTCAACGTGCATAGATTCTACCTATATAACCGCCATGTGGGATTTGGAAAATCAGCTCACCCGTGGCCAATATGAAGCATTCCTGGATGAGAGTCACCACCTTCAGTAGAATCTAAATCTTTAGTCTCTATGATAGCTTTAAGCTTTTATTCTCTACGATAGCCCATAGAATCATACATAGCTGTTCTGGATGCAAATTGAAGTGCAGCACCTCCTTCCCCCCTTCCCGGATTAAGTGAGCTCTGAAACATCGAGGCAGAGAAATATGTCCTGGACTCAAGTAAATCTTTTATGTTTCTTAGAGAAAAGGAGAAAACAAGTCAGCCTCATGTTGGATAA